CTATATCAGGATGCTTCAAAAGGATTCATGAAAATGGAATTAAAAATACAAATTTGGGGCCAGCGCTGTGGTTTAGTGGGTTAAGCTGCCACCTGCGATACAGGCATCCCTTACTGGTGCTGGTTCGTATTCTGGCCGCTCCACTTGCAATCCAGCTCTCTGATAATGGCCTGGAAGGCAGTGAAGGATGGTCCCAGTACTTGAGACCCTGCACCCAAGTGGGAGACCCGCAAGAAGCTCTTGGCTCCTGGCTTTGCCTGGGCCCAGCCCCAGCCATAGTAGCCATTTGGAGAGTGAAACCAGCAGATGAAAGATTCTCTCTCTCTCTTTCTCTCTCTCTCTCACCCCCCTCTTCTCTCTCTCTCCTCTCTCCTTCTCTCTCTCCCTAACTCTGCCTTTCGAATACACAGATAAATCTTTAACAAAAAAATATAAGTTTATTTTGATGCAAAAAATTTTGAAATCCATTCATATGAGAGGTCTTCAAAAAGTTTGCAAACATGTATAGTATGAAAAAACTCTGTGTGGATTTTGAATATTTTTGCATCCAAATAAACTTTTCTTTTAACTTCATTTTTCTACACATTTTCTGAAGCACCCCAGTATGTTCTTAGGTCAAATCATTCTGTGTGTATGTGTGTGTGTGTAGTTTGCTTGCTTGTTCTTGAAAATAGAATAAGTTTTTATAAGTAATGTAAATAGCAAATACAAAAATGCTGAGGAATATGTCTTGAATATTTGCAGTTGAAAGTCTACTCCATTTTAGATCAAGACAAGGGGGTGTGAGTTCATCAGTGCTGCTGACTTCATTATTAATAATGGGCCTTTTTAGCAACAAGCAATCTTCGATTGATTCTTTTATTTTTTTTGGACATGCAGAGTGGACAGTGAGAGAGAGAGACAGAGAGAAAGGCCTTCCTTTTGCCGTTGGTTCACCCTCCAATGGCTGCCGCGGCCGGCGTGCTGTGGCCGGCACACCGCGCTGATCCGATGGCAGGAGCAGGTACTTATCCTGGTCTCCCATGGGGTGCAGGGCCCAAGCACCTGGGCCATCCTCCACTGCACTTCCCTGGCCACAGCATAGAGCTGGCCTGGAAGAGGGGCAACTGGGACAGAATCCAGCGCCCCGACCGGGACTAGAACCCGGTGTGCCTGCGCCGCAAGACAGAGGATTAGCCTAGTGAGCCGCATCGCCGGCCCAAGAGACTTTTAAAAATAATTCTAGGATATGGGTACCCAGTTAATCAACAATCAAGAAGCAGACTGTAAATGTTATCTGAGTTAAACGTACTTGAATTTAATTAGACCAAAAAGTTGGGACTCTATCCAAAATATGTTCATCAAAAAATCAAAGGAATTTGAAAGTAGAGGAAATAAATAGGATGATGGGGGCCAGAATTAATTTGAAACTTCTTAAATTTCCAAAATAGTTAAAAATGGAAATACCAAAGGCAAAAGATTTTCATTTTTTTAAAGAGATTAAGACAGCATACCCATCTTTGGGAACTACTGCAACATTCTGCTTTCAGAAATAAATATTTCAGAAATAAAATAAAAAAAAATAAAAAATAAAAAATATTTCAAAAATAAATATTTCAGAAATAAAAATTTCTAAAAGGACCAAAGGTATAATTCATTGAAAATCACTGTCACAATATTTTTCCAACCCCAAACATCTGAATTGCCAAAAGATTTTTTGTATGATTTGTGGAATACACTTAAATGTAATCTGACAAAGAATTTTAACTTTTTAATTGTGCATTAAACAAATTTCTTTTTAGGAAAAACCATGAAATTATATGAATTTAGAACTGTCCAGTAAGTTGTGAACTATGTAATGAAAAGTTTATATAACTAGTGACTTCAACAATTTGGACTGTACTAAACTCTTTACTAGCAAATAAACTGTAAGGTTTTAAGTGGAATAGAACATTTGAGGTAGGGTTGGGCCCAGTGATTTTTTTGTGGAACAAATGCACATGATTTAAGTCAGGTAGATCTCAGATTGATAAGTGTTTTCCACATTGTCCTTATTGGTTATGCCTTATAGTAACTGATCAGGGAGCAGGTGTTTGTTTAGCCTAGTGGTTACAAAGTACCAGGTTCCAGCTCCTAACTCCAGCTCCCCGTCAGTGCAGACCTTGGGCACAGTAGTGATAGCTCAAGTAATTGGGCTCCTGTCACCCAAGGTCAAACTTGGACTGAACTCCCAGCTCCTGGCTGTACCTTTCTGCTTCACCCTGGGGCAGAGGGTGGCACTTGGGGAATGAATCAGTGGATGGAAGCTTTGTTTCTCTTTCAAATAAAAGTAATAAAATTTTTAAAAAGCATATGATATTTTAAAAAAAAGTAGCTGATCGAATAATAGCCATTGCATTTTCGATTTGCTGTGCAAATGATCACTTTCAAATGTTCTCTGAAAATTAAAATATTTCTATTGATTAAGAACTTGGTTAAAAAATAAATTAATTTACTCATGTAATATAAAATTCCAGTGGGGAAATAGATCCAGTTTCTTAAGCAACCCTGACAAGAATCTTTCTCTAGACCCCAGACTTATCAATGTCTCTGCTATTTTCATACTTAGGCAAAGAACCCTCATGAGCCCCTTGATGTTAGGAGAGCATTTCCTTTATAATAGAAGCTGACCTCCTGCAGTTAACAGTCTGGGTCTCCCATCCTGAACCACACAAAAGCACTGCAGGGGTATGCTGGTATATTGGTTTCCTATGGCCGCCATCACAAATTAACAAAAACTAGGTGGTTTAAAGCATAAGGAATTTCCTTTCCCATGTTTCTGGAGGCCATCAGCCCCAAATCAAGGTATTAGCAGGGCCTGCTGCCTCCAGGGACTCTGTGGGAGCATTTGTTTCTTGTCTCTTCCAGCTTCTGGTGGTCCAGGCATTCCTTGGTTGGTGGCCACATCCCTCCAGTCTCTGGCTCTGTGACCCCCCTGCCTCTATCTCTGTGTGTCTGTGTCAAATCGCTTTCTGCCTCCATCCTGTGAGAGCACTAGTGATTGTATTTAGGGCCCACTGGGATAATCCAGGATGATCTCATCTCTGAATCCTTAACTTAATTACAGCTACAAAGACCTTTTCCCCCATAAGATCACATTCACAAATTCCAGGGATTAGGATAGCAACATATCTTTTTTTTGGGGGGGTGGTGGTGGAAGGAGGGCAGAGGGACACTATTCAACTCAATACAGCTGGTAAGTGTTTAACAGTTTCCTTGGTAGGAAAGGGGAAGCTCTGATAGCATTTTCCTAGTTCTGTAGCTATTTGGGGAGTGAACCAGAGGATGGAAGATTTCTCTCCCTCACTCTCTGTTTCTCTGCCTTTCAAATAAATAAATAAATAAACAAATAAATAAATAAATCTTTTTTTTAAATAAATATATGCTGCCACTTATATGTATGGCCAATTCATACTACCAAGGAGAAGTCATTGAACGTGGACTTGAATGAGATGCAGAGTAACAAGTTGCTCCACATTGTTTCCACTATGCAGTGCTTGCACTACACCAACCCAAGAGATGCCAGGAACCTCAGGAGTGCAGAAAATCATAAAATGTAGTTAAATGATGAGGAAATCATAGGGTTTGAGTACCATTGGCTTTATTAATGCCACTTGTTTAATTATATTTATATGCTTTAAATTTTACTAGTGTCTGTTTAATACTGGTTGACAGAGTTTCTGACATTTTACCAGTTATTTGGGATGAGCACTGGGATAAACTGGCTCCAACACACCAGCAGGTAGAACATGCTACTGATGGGGCTTGTGTCACAGAGCCAGGGTGAAAGGTCAGCAATATCTGAATCATGTGACCTGAAAATGGGGTGGGGGGGAGACTCCTTAAGAGAAAATTTGAGATGCTATTATCTAAAGAAGGAAAAGGAAGTATTATTGGGAAGACAAAAATAACAAACCACTTCAGTATCATTGTTTAAACATATATTAATGACTTCAGGCTTAGGTTAAAAAAAATCAGCAAAATTTGAAAGATTAACATTTCTGAGTACTGTAGGTAAGCATGGACCTGTCAATCACTCTTTTTCAGCTTCTCAATCTAGTGAGCTCATAGAATCTGTTTTTAACCTTGGACACACTTATCCTAAGGTAAACAGTTTGAGAAAAAGAGATAAACCCATGGCCTTTTTTGAAGTTTTTTTTTTTTAACTGTAACAGCTTTCTTGAAATGTAATTCAATGCAATTCATCCATTTAAAGGGGAAAAGTCAATGGTTTTTAATGCATTCACCAAGCGGTACAGCCATTTCCATAATTAATTTTAGAGCATTTTTGTCACCCCCCCCAAAAAAAGAAACTGCACCATTTGGCTGTCATCCTCCAAGCTCCACCCTTTCCCCAGATCCCAACCAAGCAGTAGTCTCTCTGTGTGTCTATAGATATGCCTATTATGTGGGATTTCACATAAAACATGCGTGTTTCTGTGCCTGGCTTTTTTTACTAAGTGTGAGGTTTTGAGTTCATCCATGTTGCTGTGTGTTTCTGTGTTTGATTTCCTTTCTGGGCCAACTAGTCTTCCACTACATGGACATACCACACCATGTTTACCCACTCAGTAGCTGACAGGCATTTAGATTGTTTCCCTTTTGGACTTTGATGAAAATGCTGCTAACATTCATGTTACAAGTTTTTATGTAAACAGAAGTTTCCATTTCTCTTAAACCAGTGGTCTTTAAGTTAACCATCTTAGCAATGTCCCTTATTTTCCATATGATTAAGGGAACTGTCACTTAGGACTCTGGACTACCACATACAGTATCTCAAACCTCTTAAATATCTGGTTACCAGCCCCAACTCTGTTATTTCTCTGCAGAGAAAAGGGGTACTGACTTGGGGCTCGCAGATCACTGTGCAGGTGTGACGAATTCCCTCTGCAGCCCTGAAGTCTGGGCTTTACCCACAGCAGCTCACAATAAGCCCATCATGATGTTCCTTCAGGAACCCTCCATACGCCAAGCAAAAGGAATAATTACAAAATAAAGCTTTATTGTCTGAACTGGAAATCAGAGTCACAGGATTGGGAAGCTTGCAGGAAAGGGGGGTTCAATTTTCAGCTTGTCTGATAGAGGTCACTGGAGAGTTTCATTTTCTCCCTTGCATGACTTGGGGCGAGTTCTCTGGCGCGCCCTGCAGACCTGCAATGAAAAAGAGAGCTCTATATTAATTTATATAGCAACCTTCTTCCAAGAAATGCACAGTGTCTCAAACAGTCTTTCACTTATTCCCCTGAGGGAGCTTGCATAATGTGCATAAGAAATTACTTCTTTTAAAATTTACACTCTCCAGTTAGTCCTGGGCAGAAATAGAACTAGAAAAGCAGACCTCCTGACCAAACATTCCGCTATAATATTTTCAGTGAGCTTCTATAAATCAATGCATATCCTTAAAAACAGGATCTCTCCATAACATCCCCATGACTAGTCACCAATGACCGACGTTCCTTTTACCAGAAGCAAAACTTTGCCTTCCAAATTCCAGTCTACTGCGATGGCATGCACCATGAATTGAAGTGTATCATTTATTCACAGTTAAATGCTCAGGACTGTGCAGAGCCTTAGAGAGGCCAGGTTTTACCCTCCAGCTCAGCACTCCTAACTCACCCCAGCTGAGAACCCCTGAAGGACTGGCTTGTTGCAAGGAGAAGGACTCTTGCTTAAAAATCTCCAGACAGAAAGCTCCCCCCTCTTAGGGTTGCTTCTTGCCTATGTCTCTGTGCTTCATTTACAGGAGCTGCACTGCCCCTCAGGGTCTTGCTGGTCATACTGGGTGGCATACCCAGCTCTGGTTTCCCAAAGCCCGACTTGGGGTCTGAGTAGACAAGCCTGGAAGAGCTTCCAGCATCAGCCACATGCAGGACTGATCCAGCCGTCAACCCCAAACACCATTTCTTGTGTTGGGCTTTTAAAGATATTTTTACCGCGAAGGTCGAGATGCCCAACCCTAAAGGAAAAAGCCATGCCTAGCGCCACACAAGCTCATAGGGAACACATCTGGGGAATAGCTTTTCCTTCCCTTCCATCCCCAGAAAATCCTCTGGGCTCCATTTCTGCCCTCTCTGTAGTGATAATGAGGAAATGGGAAGTCTTAATCCAGTGAGTAACAAAAACCTTTATGCCAGTGCCCCCAGCCTCGGACACGTTTTGTTTGGGCCCCCATGATCTTTCAATGTGCATCAATAAAAAATTGTGTTTAATGTCATCCCAGACTGATTATATAGTTTGTGGTGGTCAGTACAACATGAAAACTTCTGAAAATTTAAGAATTTCAAGATGATAACAGCATAACCTTAAACCAAACATAACACTCATAAGGACCAGATCTTTGTGAATGTACAGGTCTTACATCTGGGTAGCCAGCCCCACTGCCCAATTTTAAAAAGCAAAAGATCCTTAAACTGGAAAATCTGCTAACCCTGAATCCACATGTCCAAAAGGCAGCAGATCCCTGACTGGTGCTGAGTAGCAGCTTGTATTTGTGAGCTAGGGCTACTGTCACAAATACCACAGGCTGGGGAGGGCTTCAGCAACAGAAACATATTTTCCCTCATTCTGGAGGATCCTGTGTAAGGTTGAGGTTCAGCAGGGCTGGTTTCTTCTAGGGTCTGGTTCTCCAGCTTGTGGATGGCCACTTTCTCTCTGCATCTTCACGCAGTCTTCACCCTGTGTGCGTCTGTATCCAGTCAAGATTGGAGTAGGGCCCACCTCGTTATAATTTATAGACCCTTTAAAGGACCTATCTCCAAATACAGTCCCATTCAGAGGTATTAGGGGTTAGGGTTTCAACACGTGAAGTTTGGAGAGACACCATTCAGTGCAGAACACAGCTATGCCATTTAGACAGGGGCAAAGAGCTCCAGGTCCATGCACTCATCCTGTTCCCAGCACACATATGCACATGCGCGCGTGCACACACACACACACACATGCACACACACACAGAGATGCTCCCCTCCCTCTGGTGTGGCTAGTTGCCATCAGTCACCTATTTTGAGCTGCTGGTCTTCTTTCTCCTGACTCCCAGGTCTCATTTAGAAGGACCTGCTCCTCCCCTGCAGCATATGCAAGAACAGCATTGTCTACTAGAGGACAATGACTGCGCAAAACCATCCACATCTGCAGAACTAAGGTTACAGGGTGGGCGTCTGGTGCAGGGGTTAAAGTGCTGCGTGGGACACCTGCATCCTAGACTAGGGTGCCTACGTTTGGGTCCCAACTCCACTTCCAATCCAGCTTCCTGTGAATGTGCACTGGGAGGCTGTGGATGATGGCCCAAGGACTTGGGACACTGCCACTCGTGGGAAACCTGAGTTGAGTTCCAGGCTCCCACCAGGCCTGGCTCAGGCCTGGCTCAGCCCTGGCTGTTGGGGGACATTCGGGCCATAGTGAGTCAGCAGATGGAAGATCTCTCTTCATCTCTCTCTCTCTCTCTCTCTCTCTGCCTGTCAAATTAAATGAAAATAAATAATTTTCAAAACCAACTAGCATCATCTGCTCAAATAATCCTTCCCAAGACAACAACAAAACCAGCTGCACCCATTGTATAAAGATAACAGTTCAAGTGTAATGCAGAAGGAAGGAACTGCCATGAGCTATAACTGACTGCTCACCTCGGAGACTAGACTTGCAGGTTTAAGAGAGGAAAACTGTCAGCGACGGCATAATTCTTCCCCAGGGGTGACGCTACTTAAAACCCACCTGAGAGTACAAGCAACAACTCTAAATTTCAATGGAAACCCAACCAGGTAGCTCCTTAGAGAGACCATACTCTCAAATTGGTCTTTGTACCTATTTGTAGAAAAATGTTAGCTAAATTATAGCTGCAAAGTCTGCTAATTCTGGGGAAGTTTTGGTCGTATGCCTGGAACTATTGAAGCATACACTCACACCTACCACATGCAGCACTTAGTAGCAGAATTTCCAGCGCAACACTTTAGTACTTTATTTTTAAAAGAAACAGCGGAGACTGAAGTCCTGCTCACTCTGCAGCTTTCTTGCAGGAGGCTCCACAAAAGGTTGGAGAAGCGGGAGGCTTCTGTGCTGAAAAGAAGTATATTTTGCGTTTTTTGAAAGGAGACACTAAACTCTTTGCTCAGAATCAGGGAACTCATGATGCTAAACATGTCCCATTTGTGCCTGCATATAACAAATAGAAAAAAAAAATAGTGGCGAATTTGCAAGGCCCTGAGAAAAGAGGATACAGTGTAGCGATTATCTAATAAATACCAATATCAAAGCTTAGAAAAGACCTTCAATTAATCTTAGTCTAACCTCTGTGGTTTGAAGACAAGAAAGAGAGGTTCTAAATTTTTAAATGATTTGCTCCCAGACCAGCACACGGCTTAAAGTGCAGGTCTTTTCTTTCAGGCCAAGCTCTGTCCCATCCCACCAGGCTAATTCTAAATAGCCATTGTCCTGTTGGCCTAAATTGCATGGAAAAAAAAAAAAACCACACCAGACCCTGCTTTCTCTATTTAGACTCCAGAGTTGAGAAAGCAAGGGCTATTTCAACTTCAGCTCCTTTAGCAAACAGAAGAAAAGGCATCTGACCCGCTTGCTCTTCCAGCTGGTCCCCGGGTCTGGCGCGCGGTCTCCACGGCAGCTAGCTGGCACCGGCTGCCAGTCTGACACCAGGGGGCGCAGCATCCTTTGTCCTGACAGGCATTGAAGGCCGGCTCGGAAGCCTGGCCCGGCCTTCCAGAAAATCCGACTTGCCCTCCTTTCACAGTTTCTCGCTGCAGCCAGCTTACTCTCCAGCGCCTTTCATCGTTTTTAACCCCATTTTCTTCTTCCTCGACACAACCTCAGATCTGTGCATGGGGCAAGGCTTGCAGCTGGAATGGCATTTCAGAGGTATGGGCCCCTTCCCAGCTGCTGCTCCCCTACAAAGCCTGCGATGCTGTAGCCAGGGCCTAATATTTGTACTCCCAGAGTGGCCCCCAAATTTGAGAAATTTCCAGCAGTTCTTCCAGAATGAAAAATCCTCAAAGCCCAGACAAGCTTTCTGGAAGAACTGTCACATCCATTCTTTAGTAGCCTTACCTTTTCCAGCCACAAAAAAATAAGAGCAAATTAAGTAACTGGTTCTGGGGTGCTCAAGCCACCCAGCACCCGTCCCTCAGTCCTCTGTCTGCCGTCTTGGGCAGTGTAAGAACAGCCTTTGGTGGTGCCCCAGAGGGGTAGGCTTTGCATCCTTTCACCCATCATCAGCTATTCTTTCGGCCCCACCTTGCATCCCTAGCAGGATAACTGCTTCCTTCCATCCTCACCCCCTTGGCCAAAAGAAACCCACCCTATGCTTGCCAAAGACTTCCAGTTCCAAAGACACAGTCTCCCATCTTTTGCAAACAAGCCTCACTCCTAACCCTGCCCTTATAGACATACACACACACCCCACTTCACATGCCAGAAACACACCCTTTTACAAAGAACCCTAAATCTCCTCTGCTCTGAACTGAAAGGCCACTGAATCCTATACAGACCTTTGAAAAGCAGCTGCTATGTTTACATTGAGAGAGTTCAAGTTTACACAGCCCTTTCCCTGTCTCTCATTTGAGCATTCCAACAACCCTAAGAGGTAGGCGGGATAACGGAAAGCTGAAGAGGCTTGCACCAGGACCAGAATTACTACGTGGTCGAAGCTGCAGTGGAGTCCTGGGTGACAGGACACAGGGGAGGAATAAAGCCATCACAGATGATCATCAGGTTGTATGTATCTGGAGAGCTAGGGTCTCAACTCCTGAATGCAGGCTACCTTAGTGGGAGCCTGGGAGGGGCAGGAGAATAGGAAAAAGACAGGGTGATGTCCATTCCACCCAGGCCCTCCTTCTATTCCATGGTCTCACTTCTTTTCTCTCCCCTTCACCTTGGCTTCTGTAGAATACAGCTGAGCCTGGAGACAGGTAGCCACGGCTGGCCTGCTTCATCGTGGGTCTCTGTCTCCCGAATCATTAAATAACGATAACATCCATCAGATGCAGAACGAGCCACCAAAGGAATGAAAAAATAGAAATATTATTCTGAGAGAGGAAGCAGAGTGGGAGGATTTTGCTTTCATTTTGGGGCTCTTTTGTATTACCTCAAGCGAATTGATTTATGCATGTATTCCTTTTATAATTTTATTTATTAAAATTTTATTGGGGGCTAATGACGCTCTTTAGAGCTGCTGGGAGGATGACTTATGTAACATGTCTGGCCCGGCACGTGGTCTGGCACACAGACTGCTTGCTAACCAGTAATGTATTGTGAGCTATTATACCTCTCTCTCAACCGTGAGCAAAGGGACTTCATGTGGTGGTGCTGGTGGTAGAGGGGTTGTGCTGTAGTCTCTGCTCTCAGCTTCCTGAAGAAGTAAAGTCCCTTCCTTCAATTGCAAAGCTGGCAAGACACATGCCAGTTGATCTGGGAAATGGTGGCAAGATCAGGATCGGGCCATCACCACTAAAAATACCTGAGGCACCATCTCAGATTCACCCCAGTCTCTGCAAGAGGAGGCAACCTGAGCTTGAGTCCCCTGGGCAGAAAAGCCTTCATAGAAGTCACAGAAAGGCTGGGGCTGTCTGAACAAATTCAACACCAAGTACAGAAATTAAATGAGGAATAATGCATGAACACTATGTAAGGTTATCAGCTCAGGTGGGGAGGTGGGGCTGTTCCCTGGGTACGGCCAGAACTTTGATCTGTTCCTGACAAGAGAGGTACCATTGGTGGACAAAAGGGGGAGGGTGTAATCCAAGGTCCAGGAATCCCAGGCCCACCCCAAGCCAACCCTAGTCCAGTTTCCTAAGAGTTCTATGTGGGGTGCGGGGCTGGCACCAGTGACACCAAGCCCTCCTTTAGCAACAGGGCTATCCTTTGGATACATGAGCTTTGGACAAAGTCGAGAGGCACCCATAGCCCACAAAAATCAGACTACAACATCTCTGAAATTTCTTTCAGCATTAACTTTATCTGAACAACAAGACTGGGTCATTGGCGGCAGCCACAGTCAGACCCTTCTTCTGCCCTGTGTTGGTTGCTAGTTTGGAGAGACCCCTTTTGGTGCACCCAGCCACTGAAAATCACATAAAGGTTTGTTCCTGGAACACACAGATGATTCATTTCCTGCCCTGCTCAGAATGGGAAATTTTCCTCGGCGTCGCCCTTGCCAGCGCAGCCTTTTGGGGACTGGAAGGCAGGTAGTCTGGTGGGTAGGGAGGTTGTGACTTTCTTTTTGCCCAGCGGTCTCCTTTCTATTTAAAGCAGCACCGCCCTTGGTAGCAGCTTTGTGCCAACATTTGCAGGCAGGAAGGTTTTCTGACATTGTAAGGGGGTTGTTCAGAGCCGAAGGGAGGCCCTTTCGCTGGGCCACTGGCTGAGCAGATACCCGTTACATTCGCACCCGGGGGGAATCCTGAGCCCCCACCCAGAAGGTATCTGCATTTACATTTAAAGGGGGAGGGACTTCTAGTATCTCTGGATTATGTTTCTGTGCCTGTTGCAATTCTATCTCCTCCAAAAACCCCATTGCCACTCCCTAAAGGTAGTGTTTTCTGGAGGCATATGGAATAACGGTATCAGAGCATGTCCACACCTGGAAGAGCTCTCATTTTAAAATGAGATCTTGCAGTCTAAGTAGTGGGGAGAAGGACGTTTTGCAATGAGGCATGGACTGCTAGCAAGAACTCTGATTTCCAGAGACAAAACCAAACAAATAAAAATAGCTCCAACCATTATATTTTGAAAAAAACTATATTCTCTGTGGACATTGGAGTTTTTAGAGAAATGTCCTCCGTTGTACATTACAAGTCACTTCCAAAGACGGTCCTGGATGTCTGGCCACTTGTTAAAAACGCCTGTGTGCTTGCTTTTTCTGCGTGGTGCTTTTCTGCGCCCGTTTGTATCTCTAATAAGCAGCGTTGTTTATTGTCCTTGGGTCCGTGCCCCTGGGACTGAACTGAAATAAAACAGGAGCGCTGAGGCTGAGCGCTGGAAGATACGCCCGGTTTCCGAGGCCCAGGAGGGTCCCCGGGGCCGCCGAGCGACTGTCCTGGGGAGAGCCCACCCATGCGTGCGCGCCTGGCGAAGGGCAAGTTTGCGAGAGTCTTTCAAGGCGTGGAGAGGTCCTGCGGAATCCAAAGTGTGGAGGAGTGGGTGAGGAAGGAGGCACGCGGGGAAAGGAAATGCCATTAAGGACTGGGAATAAGGATGCGACTTAAGGGCTGAACAGACTAATAAGATAGCCAGGAAGATGAAACAGGAACCGCCGCGCGGCAAGCGTTCTGAGCCGTCTTTCAGGGCGAAGTCTCCATCTTCAGCCCTGTGCAATAAATTCTCAATAATAAATTTCGTTCTTCCGTGTAGCCCTGCAATCCTCGCTGTCAAAACGAATTCCTAAATAAGATGAGGCTCCCTCCCTTCCTTCCCTGGAGTTTCCTCATCTTTGTCCCCATTTCGTTTTCAGCCAGGCGCTTTGTGACCGTGGGGGACGTGAGCGCGTGCCCTAAGAAACTGGGTGCCGCGGTTCCCCAGCTACATACAGAGAGTGTCTTTTCGTCCCCTCGGACCCCAAACGGACCTCCTTATCCCTCGCCCCGTGAGGTCTCTCCCAAATTTTGCAGCTCTCCAAATAGAGTAGACTTCGCTACCAAAAAGCAGAAACCCGCATCGGAGACACAACGGGAGTGCCAGCGGCGCCTCGGGGAAGATTCCCGGGGTTAGCTCAGCCTGCGCCTCCACACCCCGTCATTCAATGTCGGCGAGCTCCGCTGGAGAGCTTGCGGGTAAGAAGGTTCAGTGCGCGCCAGACCCGGGCTGTGCGCTTCTTTACCAGCAGCTCCTAGGCCGTACCCGAACTGTCCTCGCCACAGAGACCAAGCCCCCTGCCCCTAGCCACCAAAACTTCTCCCAACAGGCTACAAAAGCTGCACAAAGCGACATGGCTAGCGCAGGGGCCTCATCCAGTCGAGTTGTTGAAAAAGACCGAGATCTGTTTGCTCGCAATAACTCTGTGATTGCGCTTAAGCAACTTGGCGCAAAAAGCTTTAGGCAACCCTTGGGTTGCAGCGCGTCCAAGCGTCTGCAAACTTGCCCGAATTTCAAGAAGTAGTTAAAGTGAATCTCGGTGCGGAGGAAAGCGCTGGGTGTTGCAGTGCAAGGTGGGGGCGGGAGCAGTGGCAGCCGCCAGCAGGCTTTTTGTTTTTTAAAGTTAGGCACACAGCGAGGCGCCAGCGTCAATGGCACTGCTTCGTGGTTTCCGAACTTAGAGAATCGTGCTGAGTCTGGGCCCATCCCAGCAGCCAGGGCCCTGCTATACCGTACGGGCAGCGGTTTCTAGTGCCCAAGGAGCGAGCAGGGGGCGCAGGCTCAGCTCACTGTTCTTCTGCCCGCTCCCAGGTCGTGCCACTCCACCAGCCCCTTTACCACTGCAGCGATTGCGCAGGGAAAAGGAGGGCGAATGTCTAGGCTGCGGGATCCCCCAACAGGTAGTTTCACCTAGGAATCGGCCTGACTTTAGATATCAAAGGCCGGGCAGTTTGGGCCACGCTAACGCTTAGGGAGTCGTGGAACGAAAGTCGCGTTCTGGGAGTCACTTTAAATAACATTGTTCTCCACTCTCCAACTTCTCCCGAAATAGCGCAAGGCGCTGCGTTTGGAACGGCGCTCAGCGAGCCTAAATAAGCCGCTTCAGGCTATAAACTCACAGGCAATTTGGATTCTTTGCTCCCTCCTCCCTCCCCCACCTCCTGCTCCAGTAGTTACTACAGAGCTCAGCTCGGCTTCAGAGCGATGGGCATTTCTTTAGGAATCGACAAAATGCCCTTCGAAATGCCCTAGGTTTTTAAAGCCAGGGAGGAAAAGGGTGCGCTGCACTCCAGTGATTTAGTTGAATTATGCCTTTCCCCTAGCGCGGAACGCCCAGCCTTGTGCGAACCGGGCCGCGGCGGCCTCACGCTCCAGCGGGCGCGCCACGTTTCCTTTTCAGGGCGCAGGGAGACACTGGGTTGGGCCACTTTGTTCTGGCCCCCAGCGTGGATGCGCCAGGTGGGGAATCGCGGAAACCTTCTCCTGGCTGTGTGGCCCCCTCCCCTATGGGGGCGCTCGCTGGAACTTCCCCGCCTGGGGCCGCGGGCGCACGTGGTGCGCAGAGACCCAGCGCGCTAAGCGAAACCGCGCGCATCGCCCCGAAGATCCCTGGCGCGCGCAGCCCTCGCTGGGCGGGGGAGAGCGGGGGACTCGGCCCCTTGGCGGGCGGATCTAATCCCGCCTTGGCAGACCAGCCTTTCCCGCTACCGCGTTGAGCCGTAGTCTGGTAGTGCTTTCCTCAACGACCAAAACCACCCAACTCCTAGTCCTACCCGTGCGTCTCCTAACGAAATGTCTTTCGGACTCCCCGCTGTCACCAACCCCTCGAAGCCTCTGAGGCGTGGGCAGACCCGATCCGGGAGCCTTGGCTCTTCAACCCACCCCCTTCTCCCAATCGCATGACTCTCGCTGCACCGGCGCCCAACGCAGCGCAGCCCGCTTGCCCCGCGCCCCTACCACTAACCGCGCTACCTAAACTTTCCCAAGAAAAGTTTTATCACGCGCTGTCCCCTCAAGTTCGCCATGACTGGAGCGGGCTGAAGGAGGAAAAGAGCCCTTCCCCCGCCACCATCCACCTCTCCTCTTCCTCCCCACCCCCTGCCCTGCCTCTGAGTCCAAACCTTGCCGTGGAAGCGCGCGGCGCTGGAGCCCCCAAAGGCGCTGACTGTGCAGGGGACGGAGTTCGTTTCGCATCCTCCACTCTCTGTGCCTGGGCCGTTCCCGCCCCCTTCTCCCCCACCTCGCTTTCAGCGGGGACCTGCGGACTTGGAGTTTAGTTTTGTTCAATTTTATTTTTTATTTAGATTAAAAAAAAAAAAAAAAGGTTCCACCCTGCGCGAACCTCGAGCATTCTCCTGCCTTCCAGTCCCCTGGCGTGGGGCTCAGGAGATGTCCCATTCGCGCCGGGCGGGTTGACTCCCGAGAGGGGGCCCGGGGCTCCCCAGCCGCGTTTTCCCTGATTTTGTCTGCACTAAGAATCCAACATTCTCGGGTGAAGCTAATTCATGCCGGGAGCTCGGCCTCAAGGCAAACCTGCCATGCCTGTTGCCCCCCACCCTCACCCGGAACAGTGGATGCGGCGGGTTTGGGGATGTTTGGGAGAAAATAGTGGGCAGTGGGAGAGGAGACTGTTCTAACATTCTCATTGGGGTCTTGCTGTGCGCAGAGAATTAGAGGAGGAAAAACTCACTCCTTCCAGGTTTCGCTCCAAGGGCCCCGCGATCACCAAAGAAAGTGCCCTAAGTTGGTTTATTTTGTGGCCTATTCTGTTTTTATTTTGTCTAGGGTTAGTGAGGTTTGAGATTTTGTGGCCAAATTTTACTACCCCGAGGCTTCAACTTTCAAACCAACAAGCCAACCGGAATGTCCTGGCGAAACCGACTCCTGCGCTGCTGGGACGCGTGCGGGGAACAGAAACGAATTCCGCTGTACCTGGCGTGGCGCGGATTCCTGAGCCTGGGGACGCCTGGCCGGCTTTTCTGAATCTCAATGGTTTGGGTTTGAAACTGGACTTGACCTAACCAGGGCCGCGGCCCCACCGAGCCTTGATTCTTACACGTGGTTTGCGCGTCTGCGTTCCCACAGTCAGCCACAGACGACGCCTACCCCCAGCGATGTCCCGGGACCGAGGGGAGGGCGGGTCAAGCGAGTTCAGCCTGGCTGAGCCCGTGTTCCCGGAATCAGAATCAATTTTGTCTTTAGTGCAAGGTTGGTGGCACGTCTGTTACCGCGTGTGCCTACGGATGGGAAACATTTACCCAAAACATAGATGGCACAATTGCTGCCTGTCCCGCCCCACGACGAATGTCAGAAACCCTTATTCCAGACCCTGCTCCCCCACCCCACCCCGCCCCCACTTGTTTCCCACTGCTTCAGGCAACACGTGTCCCTAGCGCCGCGCGCGCTCCCTACTGCCGTGTTTCGAACAGGCCCAGCTCCAAATGGGCCATCGAGGAACCGAATCTGCACCCCTCAGCCCCACACACCCTGGCTGGTCCCTTCACTATTTGGCCCACATTGCGCCAAGAGGGTCACCTGAAAAGGCAGGCGGCTTCCAGGCCCCTCCAAACAGCACCTAGGCAGCAGCAAAACACGCCAGCGGCCGCACACTCCCCAGCCAGCTTTGGGGCTTTGGGAGGGGCGCTTGCTGCGGGAGGCGGGAGTGGGGGAGTGGGGGCTCAGAGCAAAAGCACCCTAACGGTCCCCAGAGCCGGCCACAGCCCACACCCTTCAACCGTGGCAATCGCCCTTCGGAGGGCAGAAACATAGGCTCGGATTCTCATTTGCTTCTACTATAAAAGATCTCGTTCACAAAGGAACACCCCCCTTCCCTTTCCCATCCACAACCCTTCTGTGCCCGGCTCCTAGCCCTGGGCCCTCTGACCATATTGATCTATTTTTAATCTCGCTCACCCTACATTTCCCTGGGAGATTTAAAGGCAGGAGTAGAGGACAGAGGGGATTAAGAAAAGAGCTGCCCGTGCTTTTCTGAGAAGGACAGGAGAGGAACTGAACATAGAGGGTAGATAAACTGAGGCGGTATTTAAAATTTCATTTCCTTCAGAAGCTGCCTCCTTTGTACCAGAACCTATTGAAATTGCTTCAGTGACAGGAAACAGAGAGTCTCCGTGGGAACAAAAATGGCAAGGCTTGTGGATGCCCCCTGTCCCCTGCCTCTCCTCACGTCAATGAAAAGCAGCTCTCATCTCTAACACCATCACCTGGAAGCTACAGGGTGCATGGCCAGTTCCTCCAGGGAGGCCCAGCTGCCCAGAGTGACCCCAAGCAGGTCTCCAGAATCCCCAGAGCTGGGCCCTTTAACCTCTAGGCTGGGGCATGTGGGCAGTGCACCTGGCAGGGATATAAGGTGTAGGGCCCAGGGTGCAGTCCCTGGGCTATGGGAGGCTGCAGGAAGAATGAGCCACCACTGCCTCTTCCTTCACAGCCCCTCTTCTGCTGGTTATTTAAAGCCGCAAGTTTGTCGTTCTAATTTTGATGCCCAGGGTTTGTTTTTTTTTTTTTTTAAAGGAGAAAAAAGTAGCAATGTGTGTTTGGAGTTGTTTATGGCTGTGTGTTCTGCCTTTGCTTTTGTTTGTAGGGTTTTCTTCTTTTTGTCTTTCTTTCCCCTGCAGCCTTGGCAGCCCTGGAGGAGGAGGTTTAGTGGGGCGGGTGAAATTGACCAGTTTATTCTCCCTAATCAGGCACACACACACACACACACACACACACACAAAAAACAAAAAACAAAAAACAAAACCATAAACAGGGACTCTCCCTGTTCTTAATAAGAGTCTTCAAATAACATAAAACAGTCATTTAGGTAGAAACTGGTTAGGACTGAGAAATCAGTGACACTGGGGAACAAGCTAAGCCTGTCCCTTTAAGAAAAATCCATTAAGCTCTTCCTTCAGCCCAGGGTCTGGGAAAGAAGCAAACTAACTGCTTGGAACAAAAGAGACAAAGAGGCCAAACAACAAAACAAACAAACAACTCCCCCTGCCCCCCTTGGAGACAACAATAGACGAGACACAGCAAGTACAGTCACTGCCTGGCCCAGCGGCTCCTGTCCACCTGCCAAGTCTCCCGCATTTGGCTGGAGACTTTCGCTCTCAGCCTACTCCCGCCCCCTGCCCCCCTCTCTCAGCCCTTTCTGTCCTTCTATCCGTGTGACTCTCCCTGTGTGCCTCTCTTGGGGTCTGGCTGTGTGTGTGTGTGTGTGTGTGTGTGTCTGCTGGTTTAGCTTTCCCCTGCTGTTGCTCTCTGTCTCAGGCACCTTCATTTTCTCTCCCCCTCTCACTCCTTCTCTCCCTGTCTTTAAAGGCCCTCAGCATATTAGCATAGTCTGGCATTTATTTTCATTTATTTGCTAGGCCATGTCTGTGGCGTCTCCTAACTGCCTCCTCAGAACTTCTGTTTCTCCGAATGGTCACGGTGGCCTATTTTGTATTTTGTTTGCAGCACTCCTTGGCAAGAGGATGCAGAAGTCCCTTTGCACTCCAGTTTTTACCCCATTCCTCATGTTCGGGTCTTTGCTCCTTTTCTATAAGGCTTCTGGAACACTTTTTTTTTTTTTCTCGTTACTACCCCCGCCCCCCCAGCCCCAAGCAGCTCTTTCTCTTCTTCTTGGCACTGCTAGGGACTCTCATGCATGCCTGCCTTCTCTTTCTCTCTCCCTCTCTCCCCAGCAGCCAGGCCTCCTCCCCCTGCCCCCCCCCATCCAGCCCTTTTCTCCCCCCCTCCTCACCACAGAACCTGAATAAAATACTGTAAACCTCTTTGCCCCCAGGGACTGCTTTTCTTTAGAAAGTGAATGTAAACCCTTGGAAAGTGGGAAGGGAAGAAGGGAAAGCAGAGGCTGTAGCCCGGAGCCAGCATCCCTGCCCATGGCCTCTTCCCTTTCACACCCTTCTAAGAAGCCCTTTTGTGGGAGCATCTCCCCCTGAAGCATCTGCGTCCGCTCCAGGGGAAACTTGGCCACAGCTCGCTCTCCTCTCCTGGGCCACACCGGAGGGAGGCAGCAGCTTCAGTCCCCAGCATTCCCACCCCCCCCCCCACATACCCCGCCCCGGGCCCCTTTCCACTTCCTCTCGTAGAAAAATGAGAAGGTTGGGGCTTCCCTGGCATGGGGGAGGGCTCTTCAATTCCTTTTTAAAGGAAGTGTGGCATGATTTCTTGAAAAGAAGCTTCAGGGATCACTGTCTTGCAGTAAAGGGAGAAGCAGTAAAGGGCAGAAGACCATAGGGGGAACAGGACTACACGGGTTATCTAAAGCCCATCAGAGAATTCTCTCCAAAAGGCATGTCCCTGACCACGCTCCAGATGCCGCAGACCCAGGGCAGATCTTTGCCCTTGGCCTTACTCCTCCTCCTTTTCCTTTTTCCTTCAATAATACACAGACAAAACCAGATGAAAACAGCATAAGGCCCAACCTGGAAGGGAGAAAACCCATTGAGCCGGAGAAGAGTTTAAAAAGCAGAGAGAAGAAACTCACCCTCATAGTTTGGTCACTTGGTGGTAAGGGCAGTGTTAAGAAAGTTTACTGCTATACAACCCACACCTGCACACGCATATATACTTGTGTATTGTATGTATGTTGGGTTGGTGGTGACGACTTGTCAAGAGGAAGAGGAGGAGTTTTGAAATCACACACGTTTTGAGTATACCTGGCCACTTACTAGCCAGGCCACCATGGGCAGGCCACAAGTCCTACCTGACAGTAGTGTTCTAAAGATTAAGTGGCATTGCATAGATGAAAAATCCAAGAGCCAGGCAGCAGGCAGCCTGTGTTCAAGGAAGGAATGCTTCTTCCTTCCTTCCCCACTCTTTTCATCCCTGCCTTCCTTCCTTCTCATGTTCATGGTGCCTCCTCGAGCTTTCCACAGATGCAAGCAAAGAGGAGATCTCCCAAGCTGTCCCAGTTTTCAGATCCTAAGGGGAATCCTGTGGTGCTCCGAGTCCCAGTAGAGGTACGCTGCGGCCCACACAATAGCCCTCTTGTGCGATGCCCCAAAATTACCTGGGATAATTTAGTTTGGGAAGGGATTATTCTACTCCATTATCACCCTCTCCAAGGTCCTTGCATTGCAAAAATTAAGAAGGTTCTTATTTAATATCCATGCTTTTATGTGTTTTCTGTGTTCCCGGAGAGCTTCCCTTCTTCAGGACATAATAAAAATTACCTGATGACCACAAAGAAGAGGGAAGCAGAAAAGACTATGTTCTGATGAACTTGGTCCTGACCCATAACTTCCCAATTGGGAATGCTGTTTTCTTGGTATTCTGACCTTGTCAAAATGACTGATTTTTTTTCTTCTTCCTGAGGAGTCGCTCTCTAGCTAGGCAGAGTTTCCTGAGCAGCGTTAGGGGAGACCCATCAGTGCATCTGGAAGCACTCACGGCTGCAGGCTCCTGTCCCAATCCCTGCCGGAGCGCTGGGATTCCTTCTCCTTCTTTGTCTTCCCTAGAAACCAAACCAGGTTGTAACAGCAACTGGCAAGCCTATGAGCCATGGCTAGGCCCCCAGCTTCAGTCGTTGGGAGAATGAACACATAAAAAAATGTTCCCACCTCAGACTTCCTTTTTCCATGGCTCTTATTGTCTGCTCTGCAGATACTCCATTTCCACATTTCCTCAGCTTCCTGTGCTATTTTCCTGTTTCATCATAGCCTCAACAGCCACTGAGAGGCACTGATATTGCAGCAGAGGCTGCAAAGGTGGGCTCCTCTCCCCAACATTGCCGAACATATAGTCTTGGTCTTCTCTCTGCTTCTCTGTTCTCATCAAAGTCTCCTTTTACTTCTGACATGGCTGTGAAACCTGCTTCATCTTTCTTCCTCTTTAGACATTCCCATTTCCATGGGGCACCTTTCTGTACACTACAAATAGAGCTGTGTGCACTTCCTGGAAGCATCTCTTCTTAGTGCTGATTTCAGCTGCCAGCTGCCAGGCGCCCTTGGGCAGTGAACAACCTGCACAGCCAAACACAAGCTCTTGAGTCCCCCAGCTCTGACAGGTGTGAGTGCTGGTGGGCACTCAGTCATTTAGGGAAGTTCCTCTGGGAGGAAAAAGCTCATGAAGTTTGATTCAGAAGACTAGCAGCTTCTGAAGCCTTCCAGGGCCTTATATTTTATTTTAGCCTTTTTGGGGCTATTGCCCAGGAAGAGGCCTAATGTTATCTTACCTTATTTTGTCTTTGACCCCATTCTTCATCTACTAAGCCTTCATTGCCATACCAGTGGTAGGAAGGCATTTGGTAATGCTGTGGACACTGAGCATTAATGTTGGAATCACAAAGCCCCCCCTAAACACTGGGAAGTTCTCTCTCCTTTGCTTCTGAAAGATCACTTTTTATACTAAGCCAGTAACTCACTTCTGGTCCACCTGAGGGGAGGCACTTCTACCTACAGGGCTAAAGTTAAGTTTTGGGAAAAATAATGCCAGGTATAAACACCAGCACCAGATCAATAGATCCCAGACCACGTTTCTCTGAGATGACAATTCAATTCATGGTAAAGAAAAGGGTTGAAGATCAGTTTCATGCTCAAGAGAAAGGCCTGCTTCTAATCGCTAAGTCACAGGGGTTCTGTACTGACCCTTTCAGAAAACAAGAAACCTCTCAATTTGGGAGTATTTGGAAAAACACTTTATCCTCTGAGGTGGCTCTCAACCCTGGCTAACACATTAGAATCACCTGGGGAGCTTTAAAAAATTAGCAGTGCCTGGGCCTCTCTTCAATCCAATTAAATCAGGATCTCTAGGGGTGTGGTGTGGGCATCGGTATTTTTTTTAAAAGCTCCCCTGTGTATTTCTAATGTTTAGCTAGGCTTTAGAACCACTAATTTATAGGTCAAGAGAACAGTGCATCATGGTGAATAATGCTCATTCCTTTGCTGTGTAGGTAATGAATTCCTACTATGGAGGGCACTTTGCTGGAGACCAAAAGATGGAGTTAGTTGATACTGTTCCTTGAGTTTAGGATTTAGTAGGCAAATGCCCATGTGCAGATGTCAGAACAGAACCTCTGGGCAGCAAGATTGACTTTACTTCTAAAGGGTTATGAAGGGTTATGAAGGAAAGTTAGGGCCCCAAGATCCGATTCCAGTTTTATCACTAGGATGGTGGCCTTGGATATGTCACCTGGCCTCTTTGGTACTCAGTCTGATCATCTGTCAAAAGAAGAGGCTGTGCTGGAAGCTCTGTAATTCGCACTGGTGTCCTCCAGTCTTCCTGTACTTTGCTAAATTCTCAGAAACCCATATGCTTAGCCAGGCAATTACCAAACACTTTTGGAGGCTGACTCACTCACTCATGCATACTACTGACAATTGTCCTTCTGATATTCCACCAAATCCCTTTCCAAAAGCCCTCAGTATCAGAGTGTTGATTTTTAAGTAATCTTGGGTTCCCTTAATTCTCTCCCCCTGTCTCTTGTAAACTAGCACATGAAGAGCATGGAGTCATGGTAATGTCTGTGAGGAGTGGGTAATGACTAACAGAAGTTTATCCAGTTGGATAAATGTCTAGTGGATTGCTGCTGGGGTCAGTGTTCGTTCTGGTCTTAATTAACATCTTCATTAATAGTGTGGGAGAGGGAATAAACAATAGCTAATGATATTTGCAGATGGTGGTAAATTCAGAGGTGTTGCTTCTACCAGCGAGAGTGGCAAGAGCCATGGGGATATCAGGGATGTGAACAAGAAGCGATTATAATGATGTTTATTCTGGAAAAGGCAGAATGAAATATTTGGGGGTGGGGAGCTGGGAAATGCTGAAAGAAACAACTATTGCTATCCTTTTTACTCAGGTGTGAATGCAAATGAGGCAGCCAATAGCCTTTACAACCTCTGCTGCATGTACAGAGGTGTTCTAAGCAACAGTAATCAAAGCAACAACAGTAAGAGGGATAACACACAACATTGT